GGTGTTAAACACCTGACTCCTCCCACTTGTGTGAGCTTCCTTTGCTAAACCACGAGTATTAATAGGGAGACAATTTTCAGCTATACCAGCCCCCAGTCTTCTTTCTATAAGATTTCAGAGTGTGTGTGGGAATTGGTGCCCATGTAGTCAAATAAGCTTTTGCAAAGTTGGATATGGTGGTTGAGACCCAATCTGCTTTCTAATTCATCCCAAAGACTTTCTGTAGGGTTGAGGTCAGAGCTTTGTGCAGGCCACTCTGCAGCATACTGGTCAAACTATGTCTTTATGAGGCTTTTACGTGGGGTTTATATACTTATCCATATAGGTAGAATGTCTCAACCCAGATCTAAAGCGACATGCCAGGCAAATCTAATCCTGGATGATCTGTTCTCAGTTTTAGTCCAGTCCATTGGTGGCCATTGATCATCATCTATCATATAGTCCACCTTATTGGATTGCATGATGCTGAAATAAAGAGCTAGTTGTATTCCATAGATGAGCTGATGACTTTTTGGTAATTTGGAATATGAGCAACCAGGGGTGAGAGGTTTTATGTTTGGTGCACTCTACAATTACTGTTAGAGGTCATTGCACAAGTAATCCTGCCAACAAATATCACAAATTAGTACAGAGGTTCAAACTACGAGCATCCATGTTTTGTTTTAATTAGATGCTGACCAGTCCATGTATGTCATCGTTCATAAGAGCCTTGAAAGCAATAGCACAACCTTTTCCAGATATACAGAAATATATCTCATTCCTTATTTTTATGCATGCCTTGAGCTATGTGCCTTATACAACCCCAATCTCTACAGCTCTACCACTAGAGACCCAAACCTGTGGCCAAGAAGCCGGTGCTGACCCTTCTTATTACAAACCCCACCTTACACTCATGCTGTATATGGATCATCCTACATAAGGTCATGCCATTGTCCATCCCCCAATATTTGTGCCTCTGTTCAATTAAAAAAAAAATCTCCATGGATAACCACAGTTCTTAATGATACTCAAAGCACAGGTTCAAGTTTGTTTTTTTGGCCTTGTTGGATAGCTCCTCCTGATTGCCTCTGACACAGTGTAGTGAAGGTTTCTGACCCATGTTCTAAGCTGTGCCAATTTACAAGCATTAGAAAACTTGTGAACAATTGCATGCCATAGACCTCAGCTCAGCCCCAATTTCTGCACTGTCAGACTTCAGATTGACCTCAATTCCTGCACCTTCAGATGTCAGACCCCAGTTTCTGCACCTTCAGACCCCAGATGAGCCCTAATTTCATCACCATTGAAACAAATCAGCTCCTGTACCCTCAGATCAGCCCCAGTTCCATCACCTTCAGACCTCAGATCACCCTAATTTCTTCAGATTCAGACCACAGATTAGCTCTAATTCCACCACTTTCAGACCTCAGATCAATACCAATTTCTATACCTTCACATCTCTAATCAGACCCAATTCCTTCATCATCAGACCTTAGATCAGCCCCAATCCATTTACCCTTAGACCTTTAATCAGCCCCAACTCCCACACCTTTACACCACAGATCAACCCCAATCCATGCACCCTCAGACCTTGATCAGCCCCAAATTCCTGCACCTTCAGACCTCAAATCAGCCCTAATTCCACCACCTTCAGACCTCAGATTAACACAAATTTCTGCACCTTCTGACCTAATATCAGCCCCAATATCTGCACCTTCAGACCTCAGATCAGCCCCAATTCCAGCATCTTCAGACGTCAGGTCAGCCCCAATCCATTTACCCTCAGAAATTTAATCGGCCCCAACTCCCACACCTTTACACCTCAGATCAATTCCAATCCATGCACCCTCAGACCTTGATCAGCCCCAAATTCCTGCACCTTCAGACCTCAAATCAGCCCTAATTCTACCACCTTCAGACTTCATTTTAACCCCAATTTCTGCAGCTTAGGACCTAAAATCAGCCCCAATTTCTGCACCTTCAGACCTCAGATCAGTCCTGATTTCTTCACTGTCAGATCTTAGCTCAGCCCCAATTTCAGCATCTTCAGACCTCAGCTCAGCCCCAAGCCATTTACCCTCAGACATGCGACTTTGGACATCATAGTTGGATGACAAGTCGTACCCCATGTTTTCCAATGATAACCATTAATATATGTGCAACTGCAGCGACTTCAGAGTTCATTACTAATTTGGTCTGACTTTCATGCAACTTGAGGGCCATAGACTTCAATGTTAACCCTCATAAAGTATCACATGAATGTTTTATAGGCAACAGTGGGGTCCGACTTTGCAGGGGATAAGTCACATTCAAGTCGCACCCATCCAAAGTTGCACTCCAAAGTCGGGTAACTTTGGAGTCCTACAAGTGTGAATGGAGCCTCAGACCTCAGATCAGCCCTAATTCCCCCACCTTCATACCTCAAATTAGCACCAATTTCTGCACCTTTTGACCTCAAATCAGCCCCAATTTCTATGCCTTAGAACCCCTGATCCATCCAAATTCATTCACCTTCAGACCTGTGCTCACCCCAATTCCTGAACCTTCACACCTCAGATCAGCCCCAATCCATTCACCCTCAGATCAACCCCAGACTTTCAATCTTCCCCAATTCCTGAACCTTCACACCTCAGCTCAGCCCCAATCCATTCAACCCCAGACGTTCGATTAGCCCCAATTCCTGAACCTTCACACCTCAGATCAGCCTCAATCCATTCAACCCCAGACTTATGATGAGCCCCAATTCCTGAACCTTCACACCTCAGATCAGCCTCAATCCATTCAACCCCAGACTTATGATGAGCCCCAATTCCTGAACCTTCACACCTCAGATCAGTCCCAAATCCTGCACAATCAGTAACAAGTTTTTTTGTTTTTCTTTCTTACCTGCTCCTCTATGGCCATTACAAAGCGTCCCACCTTCCTGGCCAAAGATTTGTTTTATTTTCCCTCATGCATAATGCAGCAGGACACTTGAGAGACCTTCTGCAACAGAAGTGAGACTTCATGAAAGATGTAGATGGAAGTTCCAGCCTGGAATCCCTGAAAATCATAAGCGGCTAGTGGGCATCTCAGCCCACATCCACCCAAATGTGAACAATCCCCTTCAGGAAATTCCAACAGCCCCTTTGTGAGGCCCCCCAACCCAAGGACCTTATTGCGAAGCCTTAACTATACGCTGTGCTCCAAAGCCACGCCCTTCCGCTCCCCTCCCCCGGTCTGTTACACCTCTATATAGTAATATATGCTGTATATGGATCTGCCTTTATATAGAGTGATACTAGAAGGATTAGGTTTAATATATTTTCTAGGAAATTTAGTTTGTAATACAGAAACACTGAGAACCTCTAGTGCCTGAATTATAGCTGCACCCATGACCAATCGCAATGTACACACTGTATATACACAACCGACACTGACAACATGCTGCACTGTACAGTGACCAGGAGAATCTGTAAATGGTTATTTATGGTTATTAAAGACTGACAGCAGTTCAGTGTCTTGTCTGGTGACTGATTTGGGGGGGGGGGGAGGGGATTGGCACTGCTGATATGGGCGTACGACTTACCTCATCATCCCCAACGCACCTCCTGCTCAGTTCAGCGCTCTTAAAGAGACCCTGTCCCCATACCTTATCAACAAAAATCTATCCCTACGATTATATGGTATTTGCCAGTGAAATCCTCCCTTGTGTAGACAACCAAAAGCCTTGAGTCTTCTCCTTGGCACCGCCATCTTGGATATGATGTCAGCAGGCTCAGCTGGCACTCAAGTGTTTCAAATTTTCCTGTTCCTTGCTGCCCCATAAAAGGTTATGTAAAGGATTTGATGGGTAGAGGAGCTGGGCCAGCACAGAAAGTAATTAGGCACTCCAAGAGGGCTGTGGCATGCAAGAGAGGAAGGGGCTGGGCTAGGGAAATGCTGCAAGTAACCATTTTCAATACTCGATCTTTCTGTGCTTCTACTTAATTTTTATGGTGACAGGGTCTCTTTAAAGAGAAGTTAGTGTATTACCATTGAGTGCTTCCAATGTGTGGGATATTGTAATCGCTGTAAAACATTCTCTTGACGCTGCACCAAGAAATTAGAAGGTTGCTTTACTGCTCTTCTCTCCCCCCTTCAAAAAAAAAAAAAATCCCAGTGCATTGGGGAGGAATACTGTCCCATCATTGGTGTCAGTGGGAGGAATATATCCCCATTGTTGGTGTCAGTGGGAGGATAAGTGCCCCATCATTGGTGTCAGTGGGAGGAATAGTGCCCCATCATTGGTGTCAGTGGGAGGAATAGTGCCCCATCATTGGTATCAGTGGGAGGAATAGTGCCCCATCATTGGTGTCAGTGGGGGGAATAGTGCTTCATCATTGGTGTCAGTGGGAGGATTAGTGCCCCATCGTTGGTGTCAGTGGGAAGAATATATCCCCATTGTTGGTGTCAGTGGGAGGAATAGTGCCCCATCATTGGTGTCGGGGAGGAATACTTTCCAATCATTGGTGTCAGTGGGAGGAATAGTGCCCATCGTTGGTGTCAGTGGGAGGAATAGTGCCCCATCATTGGTGTCGGGGAGGAATACTTTCCCATCATTGGTGTCAGTGGGAGGAATAGTGCCCCATCGTTGGTGTCAGTGGGAGAAATAGTGCCCCATCATTGGTGTCAGTGGGAAAATATATCCCCATTGTTGGTGTCAGTGGGAGGATTAGTGCCCCACCATTGGTGTTGTCAGTAGATGGAATAGTGGCCAAAGGGCCAGATAAATGCTAGCAAAGGGCTGCATTTTGGAGAGCACTGCTGTATATTGTGATATTTCAAGAATGTATTCATGGAGACCTGTAAAGACAATTCCATCACCATCACTCATATTCTCTCTTTCACTGTCTCTTCTCTCTCATGTTTTCCATCTTTTTTTGCACTGTTCCACCCCATCCTCTTGTGTCACCATGCCTGGACACCACCCCTATCCTTATGTCCTCTGCCTTTGTCCTGTCTTTATCCTCCACACTGCTTGGTCTTCCCTCCTCCCACAGGAAGACCTCTGTTCTCCTCATGACATCCTGGACTGTGATGGACTGGGCCGTCTACACGTTACTGTACAGTCACTCCTGCTGCGGAGAACCATGTCCCCCCAAACCGTGACCCCCTTCCACTCTAGAATGGACAATCCAGCACCTATGAACTGGTCATCTTCAAAACCATCGGACTGCAACACATACAGCAGAGCAAGAAGAGCAAATTGGGTTATGTACGGCCATGTTAACAGACGCCATCTTTTTTTTTTTTACCCTTTATCAGGGTGTTGTCAACAATTGGAGGTGAAGCCTGATATGCCCAACATGCAGAACAAGCAACGTTTATGTGTCTCGTCTTTGGGAAAAGTCATCTTGACTCTCCATAGTAACTTACTGGCCTTGGACACCATTGTGAAAAGTTAAGGTGTATCCACGCCCAAAAGGTTTTGGTTTTGTATTTTGTAGCCAAGAAATAAAACCCCTCCACGTTTTTTTTTTAAGGATTTTGGCTACACTTCCCTGACCTACTCATGTCAGCATACTACGGTTTAACTTCACCCTTTGAACTCCAATAGGACCTCTTTTATGGTCTTTGACACTGGATTTGAGTGTAGGCCACCCACACAATGTTCTCTTCGTGTCCTTGCTTCTGGTTGATATGTTATATATTGCTGTCTGTTAGCAATCTTCAGTTCCCACCTAATTATTATTATTATTGCTAGCTAAATCCCATAGTATGCTAATGGTACTCCGGTTTCCTCCTACATTCCAAAGATATACTGGTAGGTTAATTGGCTCCTGTCTAAATTGTCCCTAGTATGCGTATGTATGAATGTGAGTTAGGGACCTTAGACTGTGCACCCCTTGAGGGTTAGGGACCTTAGATTGTACACCCCTTGAGGGTTAGGGACTGATGTGAATGTACAATATATGTGTAATGTGCTGCGTAAATTGATGCGCTATAGAAGTACCTGAAATAAATAATTGGAGGAGGCCATGAAAAAGGAAAATTGGTTTCTAATCCGTATTCTAGTTTTTTTTTTCCTGGCCAGTCTTTCTGTCGGCATAAGATTCCCTCTCTGGTTTCCTGTCTTGAAACCTATGGAACGTTAAGTGGCTGAACCAAGCTCACATCTTCGGGCTATAGGAGGTGGTCCTATTGGAGGTCCAAGGGCGGAGCTAACTTGTAGCATGCTGACATGAAGATTGGCCAGGAAAAAAAATTACAGTAAGTATGGGAAAACCATTTTTATTTTAGGGGAGGTCAACAGAAGAAAGTTCATTTCTAGTAGACGACTTAAGCCCTCAGGTTATTTTATTAGGCACTTCATGTTGGCATACTACAGGTCCGCTCCACCACTTTTGACCCCCATATTACCACCCATAACTAGCTAATAAAATAGAGATGGTAGATTCCTCCTACATTCATTTGTCTTCGCTGCAGAACTTATTAATACGTTTTGAGCCACATTGTAGCCTTGACTTCCCATGGATTTCTGGCTTGCTATCTCCTGTAGTATGCAAACCTGAAGCCGCAATTAATATGGAATACAGTCATTAGGTACTTGCCAACATTTTCACTTACCTTTCCTGGCCTATCGATGTTGGCATGTGATTCTGCCATTTTGTGTTCTGTTGCAAGTGACAGAACAAAGATGGAATCAACTTAGTTTGTATGTGCTAGTTATGGGGGGACCTATGAGGGTTAGAGGAGGGAGAGCTGACAAGAAGATAGGCCAGAAAAAGAAAATTAGGGTAAGTATCGAATGATAATCTTCCACTGGTGAGCCCAGGGTTGAACGAAGTTTGAGCCAATATCTGAGATCAGACAATGAGACAATTGTCAGGCCAAAGTCCAACTGCTTAGCTACCCATGATTTACTCCCAGCCCAGGCTGGTTTTATGTAACAGCTCAGTCATTACAAAGCCCTCAATATTTGAAAACACTTTCCTGAAAGAGGTATACAAACGAGGACAGCTGACTTTCTCAACCTGCCTGCTTGTTCCAGGTCAGCGACTCGCACGTTTTTGAAGCCAGAAGGACAGGCGGACCAGCAAGGGTTGCCTCCAAGAAAAGATCACTCAAGTTCCTCCAGGGGAACCATTTTAAAGGGTTTCTCCAGGATCAATGTCTAAAGGGAGGTTGAATTTACCTTTAGAGCAATGTTGACATTTTATTTATTTGTGTAAAACAAGAGGTGTGGTGGATCACGTTCCAGAAAAAGCAACTGCTTAGTGGGTGCAGGTACTGACCCGAAATCTGCTGAAGGAAAGATGGAGAAAAGTCAGAATCCCATGCAGGTCAGTGCATCAACATGATAGCCAAGAAGATAGAGTTCATAAAGGTTGGGTTGCCAATGAAGTTCCCTCATCACTCACATTTCTTTAACGTTCTCTGAAAACAGGTGCAACTCATTAGTTGTTAGCTATCTGAAAGGTACAACCTTCCTGCCAGCATCCATTGGCGATCTATGGTGCCAGTTAGCCAAGCACAGAGAAGCACCTGTTTCATGAGACAACTAAGTTGCCTGACAGAGAACAGATGGAGAAATGATTAAAACTATGTTCTGGTAATAAATGCCTGTATGTAATTATATATGGATTTTCATCTTGGCATTCTGCATCTCCTGTTCACCTGCTCTGCTCAAGAACCACCAGTCTTGGCCATTGGCTGAGGAAGAAGCTTGCTGAAGATGGAGGAAGCCTCTGTCACTGCTACTGCAACCGGTGTTTATCCCGGGATTGGAATCCCCAACGTTGCTGTAGGCACGGGACGTGTTTCGAAGCCAGGCAGCTTCTCCATCAGCCTGTCTATGCTGGGCTATCCTTCACTTTAAATACATCTTGGAGGAGGCAAGACCATAGGGTGCAACTAGCATGGAGAAAGACATATAGTGCTGCTCACTGACGAGGATGATAAGGCGCCCGATGGTTCCACAGCTGAATCTTATCATCCTCATTAAGGCTCCAGGCTGGTGAAGAAGCTGTCTGGCTACAAAGCAAATCCCGTTTCTGTAGCACACGTGTCTCCAGTGCTGTTGGGGATTCCAGTCCCGGGCAGAACATCAACTGCAGGTCCAGTGACAGTGGCTTCCTCTATCTTCAGCACATTTCTTCCCCAGGTGGTGGCCAGGGCTGGTGGTTCTCTGGCTGCCCCTTGGACATTTCTAGCTCCCAAGTCCAACCCCCTCCCCCATAGTTTTTAGACTAGAGAATCATATGTTGAGAGGTTGCAGACCCATCCTTAAAGTACAACCAAAGGCAAAACTGTCTTTTTTTTGGACAAAGTGGAGATAGATTAGAACCCCTGTTAGTTTTTTATTGCTGTCTGTGCTCCGTTAGGGAGATTCCCCTGCTCTATTTGTCCTGTTTGTCATTACTGTTGAAAGTAAAAGGAAAGGAAAATCCCACATTTTGGGTTGTCTCTAGAAAAGTAATAGAGGGGAAATCTTCCAAAGGGGACACTAGTTCTAGTGACTTGGGGGGGAGGGCCTAGGGATTCCCATAGTTTGCAGGGATTTCCTATCACTTCCTGTTTTGGTTATGGGACAGGAAGTGAAGGGAATTCTCCCCAATGGGACACAGGGCACAAATAATAAACTGACTTGGGTTATGTCCTTCTCTTAGTCTTTCCAAAATGGAAAAAAAAATTGCCTATAGTTCTTGTGACGGACTGCCTAGCACCCCGCCTGGGTCTCTTCCATCAGAGAACTGCTTTCTCACCATTGGGACACAGGAACAAGGTATTATAGCTGAGAGTTGCACCCAAGAACTAGACGAAACTAGCTTAGTGGAAACAGGAACTCTTTATTGAACAGAAATACAGTTTTTTTATACACTTCAGAAATAGGAGCAGTCCCCCACATGAACAATAAAAACAAATATTTCACATAAGTAATGAGGTAAAGTTGACACCAGACTATTCCCTTCATTCAGGAACCTCCAGGAGGACTAGCCAACATACAGAAACAATAGGTGACCCAAATCAATAATGGGACAAAGACAAAACAGTAAACAAATCACACCTATATTAACACCAGATTAATCTCATCATGCAGGAACCTCCAGGAGGACTAGCCCACAGAAACAATAGGTGACCCAACTCAATTAATAATGGGGCAAAGACACAACAGTAAAACACATTTATTTCAGGTACTTGTATAGCGCCGTCAATTTACGCCACGCTTTACATATAGTACATTCACATCAGTCCCTAACCCTCGAGCGTACAATCTAAAGTCCCTAACTCACATTTATACATATACATCACACCTATATTAACACCAGACTAATCCCATCATGCAGGAACCTCCAGGAGGACTAGCCAACAGACAGAAACAATAGGTGACCAAACTCAATAATGGGACAAAGATTCAACAGTAAACACATGACACCTCAATAAACACCAGACTAATCCCATCATGCAGGAACCTCCAGGAGGACTAGCCAACAAACAGAAACAATAGGTGACCCAAATCAATTAATAATGGGACAAATACACAACAGTAAACACATCACACCTCAATAAACACTACACTAATCCCATCATGCAGGAACCTCCAGGAGGACTAGCCAACAGACAGATATAATAGGTGACCCAACTCAATGAATAATGGGACAAAGGCGCAACAGTAAACACATCACACCTCAATAAACAGATTACAGCAAGAGATCTCAGCATCGGGTTGTTTTGAGCTGATTATATTGACATCTGCTCTGAGTCTAGGAAGGAGGAGGGGGTTCAAGCAGTCAATGCTGGTTTGGGCACAGAGATCCCAAATCTTTATCCTGGTCCTCCAGTTCTCAGTCTGTGTATTTTGGGGAGACATGGACTTGCATCCAAAGTAAAACTACTCCAAAGGTCCCCCCCAGGCACACACCTCCCAAAGAATAGAGCCCCCTCAGATGCCAGGGCCCATGGTCAGCAGGCAAGAGGCTAGCCTGCAGTCCCCTCCAAAAGCCCCTTTCCTGGTTGGGTCTGTCATAGTTCTACCTTAAGCTGGCCATAGATGGTTCGAATCTGGGCTGGTTCAGCAGGCTGATTGGACCCAATTCGACTGTTCTATGGCCACCATGCTGGATTCCTACACTGGTACCGGCTGCAATGGATTATATAAAAGTCAAGTA